CATTCGTCAGAGAACATTGTTCTTCGTTACACTGAGCAGGGGGAAGCCATGTCGAGTGGGCCCTAGCCTGTGTACAGCACCCCCTACCCTCAAAGAAAAAATCTCTCTTTCCGCAATATTTTTTAGGGGAGGGGGCGACTTTGCACAGGCTAATAGGTGTAAAGAGGTAGGAGGGCGGCTGCATCAACTGATTTGCAGTTCTCTTAGCACAGCCATTATCAGCTGAAACCAGCAGTAATTGATAGGAAGCTAAAAAGAAAATGTCTATGTAATTTAAGGTGACTCGACCCAGTTTTTTTTTGGGGGGGGGGGGTACCATCCTACTTTGAAGCTCTCTGGTATCCCCACCTTTACTTTTATGGTAAGTCTAACACATAGAATGGATAACATATAGATCAATCTGCAATATAACATAAAATTTTTGGCGATCGGAGTAAATGTCACGTGGTTATAATGCCACGCCCCTTTGAGGTCTGAGTCAAAAATCTGCTGTTGCCGGCTTTTTTTTTCGTGAAAATCTCTCGGCCACACATAGTGCGCATTAGTGCCTTGCGCTAAACAGAGTTTCACCAAAATCGCAAAGACCCAATTCGAGAAATTCAGCGGTTTCCAAATTTAGGTCATAATTTATGCGAAAATGATAAGCAAACTTTACACGGATTATATCTAATAAACTATGAGATTCATCTCTTTATTTTGGGGATTGTTATAACAGATGGGTCCTTGCAAGTCAGCAAAACAATTTAGGGCCTTGTAAATGCGCGCAATTTCGAGCAAAGCAAACATATAGAAATTATAGTTTTCGCTATTTGTTGACGTTTGTCAGCGTTTAAGAGTCAATCTCAGGAAAAAAGCATTTTCTTAAAAATTCGTAGTTTTTTTTCCTTCAAATTTTTTCAGGGTCACAATTGATTAACTAACTACCCAGACTCTGAATTTGATGGTCATTGAAAAACTGTGACATTACCTTCTATAAGCCCAAACTTGAGTAAACATTGAAGATTTTTAGCGTTTTGGCCGAGTTTGTGCTTTGGGAGTTGTCTATTGTTTCTAGTCTGTCATTATACAGCATTCTTGTTCAGCACGCGTGCAATGACCGCGCTTGGCTGACTTCCGAACTATACTTAAAGTCGAATAATTTCCGTTGAACGCCTGTTCTCAAAAAAAAAAAATCTGAATTGTAAAGTAGAACTTCACTCCTAAGGATTCTACTGAAAAAAATTGAGGCGTAACATGCGCTAGAAGACCTAGAACCACTTTTTTAAACTTTCTATACATTTGTCTGTAAGAAAGTCCCGGGAAAAATTACAGGCAAATATATGGAAAATCCAAAGCAAGCCTCTGGAGAAATTTAAGCACAGGTGCGCCCCCAAAATATTTTTGATACAATCCTTTCCTTTGTAGCTTTAGTCTACAATTCATTTTTTTTTTTGAGAACAGCCGTTTTACCAAAATTATTCGACATTAGATTCTCATACAAACACTGTAATTTCTCACACGTTTGCCTTCTCGTCAAGATAGCGTCGATAACGATGACAGGGTCTATTCTTTTTAGCCTGCCGAGAAGGGCGCTTTTTCTTTTAACAAAAGCTCAGACGTGCATTGATCGCGTTCGTCATCTTGAAAACAAATAATAATCATAATGATAAACAAAAACTCGCCCTGGGCAACTCCCTAACAGTTTCTAGTTTATAAGATGGAGGGAGAGCATTTTTCAAACGTCACTTATAGTATCATAGCTCTTTCCTCATATATACCTAAATTGGGATTTCGCAACAACAGTTCTGACTCGGATGTGTTAGGTCAACGCAGCACCATCTCGTCTTGATAATTTTAGCCGTCCACTTTCCAGAGCAGCTTCCATTATGTGCTTTTTTGTGTTTACACCCGCCCAAATTCGGGGCCTCCGTGGCGCAGTAAGAATCCAGGTTAGCTTGAGTCGACAGTATCGGCTGATTGGTTTTGCCGTCTGAAACAAGAAAAATTGCTAAAACTTCTTGCAACATTTATCTTTGGAAAGTTATCGTCATGGTTTTTCGATCATCAGGAGCGGGTTCCCGCGCGAGTCTGTGACGTCGAGGGTGGCGCATTTTGTTCTAAAAATAGCACCTTTGGCTATTTCGATGGAACTGCGTGGACCCCAAGCTTGCGTTCTCCTAACCCAATTGTGGCTCCTGATTATATATTATCATTGCAATGAATGAAGTACTGGGGATAAGAATGGCTTGTATCTGATCATGAGATTAATAATTGTATCTGAGACTAATAATTCTGTATTTCTGCCTGTTTGGTATTATACAAACGATACTTTCCAACTTTTTCTCGTTTCTGAGCCTTGCTTTAACGGGTATATGCTTGAGATTAAGATTTGAAAAACGTAATTATATAAACAACATCCTACCTCTTTCCATACCGTTACAATCGTTGGTTGCTGACCTCAGCATCTGTCGATAAACAAATAAGACAATAATATTTTAGTTTGATAATGATATCTTCACTTAAGTTACTATTGATGATTTGCAAAATCTGGCATTAGCCTCAAATTTAGTTATCCAGGACGTTTTCTATAGCCGTTAAGTTCAATTGTCCCTTGTGATAGCTGATTATTATCGTTTAATTCACGAAAATAACTCCTATTAAACAAATATTTGAACTTGAATTTAGCAAAAATCAGCTCAAAGAAAATACTAAAATTTAGTACTAAATTGGAAGTGGCCAATGTAACGAGAAACAGAGATCATTACCGCAGACATTGAATCAAAAGTTTTGAATTACATTTCTACGTTTAATATCGTTTTTATGTCGTATTGACAGCTTTGTTATCTTCATCTAATAACTCAAGAGAGGATATCATCAGGAAAAGTTTACGTTCTATGGGTGCCAAAGTCTGACAACATCGTAAATAAATCGAATAATTTTAGTTCTTAACAAAAAAAAAAGTAATAATGATAATAAAAATAAAGATTGAATGAGTGTCCAGATCAGTGCGCTGAATTTTTTCTAAAGCCGATTAAAGCCGTTTCTTAATGCTTCTTGTTAACCTTTTAACACCTGATTTCGTCCGTAAAATATAGCAAATTCGTAGATATGCTTTTAAACAAAGTAAATAGGCGATGTAGTATTTATGAAACATCAGTATTTTCATTTTCCGTTATTGTTTTGATGGTTTATATATCCCAGTGTTTTTTTTTTTCAGCTATAACCATGTAGAAATGTCTTTGGAAACAGAATTTGAAAAATGCCATTTTTTTGAAAACGAAGTGAAATGCACTGCACTGAAATGACAATTAAAGAAAATGGACATACCTTTCTTAAATGTTTTGCACTTATATTTACGTGCTTCCAATTTTCATCCTTCACAAGAAAATGCTTTCGTGTTTCGAAAAGAGGATTTATCCTGCATATTTTCCTAGGATGATCCAAATTGATATCAACAGAGAAGCAATGTGTAGTTCTAAGACAAATATCCAAACACTGCAGTACACTGAAAATTTGTTCGTGGTCAAAAGCGTTTGGGGCTAAATGCATCCTACTTCCACTGAAAGTTCGCATCTGTACTCTTTCTTGAAATTTTTGGAATTCGTCGCCATCACAGGCGAGATGCACTTGCCAAAACAAAGCAGAAATACAAAGAATTGAATAGAAAGCGAGTTTGAAGTATTCCATGGCCATTAAAACGGTTTTGCAAAGGAAACTGGTTGATCACCTGATAAACACAAGATTGTCTGTAAATAGCGTGTTTAAATAGGAAAATATTTTATTCACTATGCTATGCAAATGAAACCAGTTTCAAGTGAATCAGAAACGTCAGTTTGTTTAACAAATGTACGTGTTAATGATACTAAGGCCCTAATTCGACTTGATAATTTGATCTCAAGTTTCTCAAAGCCAAAGTTCTGCTGATTGAGAAATTAAAATAAAAGTTTTATATACCGGGTTCTTAAAAAAGGATTGATATCGGGGTTCAAAATGAGAATCGATTTTGCCTTAGTGCAATAGAACCATAATTGACGCCATGAAGTAATGAGTCAGAAAAACGAATTAGTATAGGTAATAGCCAATGAAATACTAGGCGAGCTTTCGCGCAAAAACTTGTCAACGTTGCTTTGGCTTCATAATAAATCGCTCCTTTCACACCAAAAAACTATTAAAGTGAAATGGTTTGGTATAGTTCATTTGTGTTTATATAATAAATAGAACATTACATGGCCGCTTGGAGATACGAAATTTCTCTTGTCGTGTTGAAAAAAAAAATTCATATTTTTCAACAGTCGAAGAGAAATTTCGTATCTCCGCGCGGCCATGTAATATCCTCTATTTATTTGTCTAGGATTAATAACATAATTATGATATCAGAATTTTGAGGTGGGCGCGAGTGAAAAAAACACAGTTAGGCTATTCAGTAAAAAAAAACCGGGAGAGTAAGGCTATGAAATAAAAATAAAAATTTATCGGTAAAGTTAAATATGCGCTCGTGCTAAGACGATTCAAGAAAGAAGCTTTTTAATCCCAATTAAGACGAAGTTAAAATATTGTTTTGAATAGAAATATCATCTCACCGTCTGTTCCTTAAACTCCTACGCAATTCAGACTTCGAGCTGTTAGTTAAGATTGTCGGTTATTTAATAATTTCTTCTATTTACAGAAAAGAATATAACCTAGGACCTTGGGAAAAAAAATAAAGATCTTAAAATAGCAAAAAGTCAGTCGTTTTCACTATATATAGTTACTATTTCTTCGCTATTTAAATCTCGCTGATTTTGTTTCCGGAATCTGTATGACAACCTTGTACTGACAGTGCCACATAATGAAAGATACATCTTTAAATTAATGCCTTTATATCTATTACGATCACTTGCTGCTCAATTTCTTCAAACCAATAACTTTTTTTTTTTAATTCTTTTAAATGTTGCATCAATACGTGGGTAGTTTTGTTATTTTACAATAACTTTTCGGCTTTTTAGCTTTTCTCACGAAAGTTGGCCTGAAAATGCAAAACGTAAGGCCAATCAAATTAGTTGCTAGCATGTTTTAAAATATTCAGTCATGTCGTCATGTTTGCTGACGTCATTCTTACGTAAATTTTAAATTTGGAATCTCCCAAATTGTTTGTTTTTTTCTGAAAGATCTCATAAAAGGAAGTTGAAAGCTGAAAAAATTTTTGCAATCTCTCATAGTTTAGCTGAGATATCGCAGTTTGAATTTGGATGAATGTGTAGATCAAAAACTGGAGCTACCCCTTCGGGAGTGTTTGCCTTGTTTAATTTAATTGCCCTTGTTATCTAATTCTAAGTTACATATAAGAAATCTGGACTGTCGAAAGCTAAAAGAAAAAAAAACACTAAAAACATAAATTTCCGACTACGCAGAATCCTGGGAAACAAATTTGTGATGTCAGAAAATGTCACATGATGATTTTTTTGTACTGCTTAAATTAGCGTTATTAAATAAAAAAAAATTAAAATCTAAAATCAGACGATTTTAGCCCACAATGAGAGGCTTTTGGTACCAAAAAATTACCTTATTTTGTAAAAGACGGTGAAAAAAAATATATCATAGCAATCGTTTTTTTAAGAAAAACTATGGATCGGAGGGGGGGCGCTAAAATATTTTTGAAGCCCCATAACTCGCGTGTCTTATCGAAAAGCGGTTTTCGTTGTATTTCTCCTCTTCTGATGCTCTTTTAGATGTAAGTTTCACGCAAATGTAAAAAAAAAAAAAAAAATTCCCCCATTTTTGTGGCGTCAGCCAGTGTGACGTCACATTTTGTACTTTTAACTAAAACAAAATCACCCGGAATTTTTCCTACTTTCATCGTAGTCCATCAACCAGTTCGGTTAACAAATAACAAAAATCGTGAGAAACACGTACATTAACTGGCAGCCTGGGGAAGAAAAGGCTCGTAAAAAGCTCGTTGTGATTTTATAGCCATCATTTATGTATCTATTTTGAGGGTTAGAAGAAATAGACGTCCATTCGCTCGACCCGCATTACACTGGAAGTAGTTGATTAGGTAAGAAGAACCACTTTCTACAACGAAAAAGGATTATTCTTGAGTTTAAGTAGCTACTGATAGTTGTCGGTAGTTACTGGTAGTTACTCGTAGTTGGTGGTAGTTACTGGTAGTAGTAGTTATTTGTAGTTACTGCTAGTATGCCAATGCAACCCCCCCCCCATAAGGTTTTTCTGAGTTTCTTTCTAGAGGATAAAACATCAGCACCTGACCTTTTTTAGTCGCTGTTCGTTCATCCCTAGCGCACATTTTGAGAAAAGTCCAGTGATGGCCAGTTGCTATGGTTACGAGTTATAACGTCACAAGCAGGTGGTAAGGCCACATGTTTTTTCAACTTGTTTCCATAATAAAAGTGAATATTGTGGCAAAAGTTATGCAAAGTGCTTATTTAAGTGTTATTTTTCATGCAAAGCACAAAATTACCATTTTTCTCGCGGTTTTAACCTGATTTCTAATTCTTGGTAAAATCCAAGATGGCGACCATTGTCGCTGACGTCACAGGCCGCCAGCAGCCCCATCACCCATAAAAGGTACCTCATCTTGTTAAGAAGATTAAAAGCTCTCCTAGAAGAAAGTGGCCGTTGTGGAGAGGTCGCCGTTCAAATAAAAGCTACTGAGAATTACTGATCTTGTGATACTGATAATTTTGCTGTGTTAGGAGGTTGTAAGTTTTGAGTCTGTGGATATACAATGTTTGAGATAATGTTGTAGACTGCGCCTAACTTTTAATTTATTAGTCTGCAGATAAAATAAAATCTAAGGACTAAACATCAGAAGAAAAAAAAAAGTAAATAATAGCTTTCTGTTTTACTCTTAAAAATAATCGTTTTTGAGATATTTTGATGGATGATAGAATAATAATCTATATAAAAGATATAAGCACCTTTACTGCAGTTTTGAACGGGGACGAATCATAAAATTCTATAATAGAAAACAAAAATGAAAATACAAACTCGACAGAGATTGATTAATCTTTAGTCTGGCTTACCTGTCGTAGTAATTTAGAACTCAGGTTAACATGAATTGAATTTCCCCCTTCAACCAAAGGCAGCATGCTCTCTACCTCTCCAAATATTCTACAGACTTTCAACTGCAGTGGCTTTGCCTCAACATCAAATGAAACGCATCGGTCAGATCTTAAGCAAGCGTCGAGACACTCCATGACAGTCTGTACTTTTCTCGACAAAACCGTCGGAATCTGCTCGGGGATGCGTCTTCTGCTGAACATTCTATTTCTTATTTCATTGGACTCTAGGTTGAACCCGTTTCTGAAAGTCACTTTACAGTCCTGAACCGAGGTTGAACGCTGATATATCGCCAGAAAAATTACTGCTAAAAACATTTTACCCATTATGATGTTTTTTGGTCGGCTATTACAGGCGTTTGACCGAGTAAGATTAGAGTATATATTTTCAGCTGTCTCAGAGGAAACAATCTCCACGATGTTTTGACTTCTTTATTGAATACGTCCCATAGTGATTATGTTAATGGAATCAATTTTTATACTAAGAAATCGCTTTGCCACACTACTTGTTTAACTTAACACCTAAAACGTACGACGAAATACTAATTTACTAATTATATAATTCCAAGCCAAAAATCAATCAATAAATTGGAACTTAAAAACTCCTACTAAAACACATAAGAGCATAAATTGAATATTTGCTTGCCTACATTTGTCTAGAATTAATCAGTTGCGAGGTACAACTGTAATAATCATTTAGATTGTGAGAATTTAAATTACTCATTATCGAGGGTTTGTAATTAACCCAAAACAGCACACACACTCTGACCAATCAAAATTCAAGCCGTTAAAATAAACCAACCAAAGCGAAAACAATTATACAACCGACGCCAGGCGTGAAAAAAGGCGGCACCCTGATCGCTTTTCGTTCATTGTTTCTGAGTGGCCGAAAAACGACGCGAGGTTTTTTAGCCAATTAAATGCAGAGGCAATGAAAACCAAAATAATTATGAATTTGGTTCCCCCCCCCCAAAAAAAAAAAAAAAAAAAAAAAAGTAAATCAATAAACTAGGTTATGGCAGTTGCGTTAAGATTTGTTTCTTTATTAGTAGTATTATTATTTTTTCTCTTCTCCTGGATTTGAAATGGACCCGAACACTAGAACTTTTATTCTTAATAAATGATATGTTTTTTGTTTTTGTTCGTTTTTTCGTTTGTTTGTTTTTTAGCATGGAATAATAGTATTCAAAATACTTGATACAAAATGAATAAATTATTTAATAAACCTTGCGTTTGTGCTTAACACGGTAATATATTTTTTCTGATACTCATACATATGTATGCGTATATTATTGCCCTTCGTCAGGTGGTTACTACTAATTAATTGCAACCAGGAGCCCTAATCGGGGTAGAAGAACAGAAGTGCGGGGTCCACGAAATGGTCAAATTTGTTATTTTTAGAACAAATTTCACCACTCTCAATATCGTTAACTCGCCCGAGGACCTGCAAATTTGACTGGCTCCCGTGTAGAGCTTCAGGAGATGGGCTGCTGCCTTGCAACTTTACTTGAGTCCTCTTTAAACTTTCCAAGTGCTTCATATCTCTTATTTATCATAAACATCTATCATATCTACAAAAGTGGCAATTAATTTTCTAAAAAGAGAAATCCCAACAGCTTTGCTACGCTCCGCTGCGTTGCTCATTTGTATTAAAGAAAAACACTTCAAAAACGGTTCAACGATCTCCTCGCAGTTCATTTGGGTTGTTATTTCTTAAATTTTTCGTGATCTCGTAAACAAGCAAAAAACGGAAATACCTTAGATAGAAATATGTGCATGAAATGTAACTTATAAATGTTGATGATGAGGAATAATACTGCTATGGCTATCTTAGAACATGTGAACAATATTTATCAAGGTTTTGAAAACAATCCGTACAATGTCGGAGTTTTCACAGATAGAATCTTAAGAAAGCATGTGATACAGTGAACCATGAAAGACTTCAGGATAAACTAAATTTATTCATTTATTTCTTTCTTTATCACTTCCACCAAATGCTGTGGAACACACAACAGAGCGGGGCTCCAATTTAAGTGTGTCCTTACAGATAACCCACCCCGCCCAGGAGAGGTTTACTACACCACCGGGGTCGACGCCTCCTTCTCTTTTCGAATAGTGGTGTGGGTTCTTTTATGTCCCACAAGAACAAATCAGTGAAAGTGCTGTGAGACGGGACCTTATCCGAGAAAACTAGAAAGTCTAACCGTTTGCAGATGTCATTGCAAAGGCATCACTTTCTCCTCAGTTATTTTAAGACCCTGAGTGTTGGTGCTGCCTGTATTTGAACCCACGACCTTCCGCTCAACAGACCGGCGCTCTCCTAACTGAGCTAACCAGGCGGCAGCTATTATTATGGCATTAGAGGTATCCCGTTATTCTGGTTTACTAACTATTTGTCTCACAGACAGCAGTGTGTCATGGTTCAGGACCATACCTCCACATATAAATCGGTCGTATGTGGGGTTCCCCAAGGTTCAGTTCTTGGACCTGTACTTTTCCTTTTATACATCAAGGCTCTTTTTCAAACGTCTTTTTTATCATTCTCTTTGATGATGATACAAATATCTTTCTTCGTCATAATGACTTGGCTACCTTAGCAACCATTCTTAATGTAGAGCTCTCTCTTTGTTCTGGGTTTATTAAATGCTAACAAACTCACTGTCCATCCTGCCAAATCTAAATTCATCATTTTTCACCCCCGACGTAAACAGATTAACTCCTGAGATATAAAAATTATATTATATTATAATATTAAAAATAATTCCCGTAACACGTGTGCAGGAAGACAAATTTCTTGGAGTTATCATTCAGGAAAATTCATCTTGGAAACTGCATGTCTCTACTGTCTGTTATAAAGTCTCTAAACTTTAGACACTTAATTACCTTAAAATACTTTGAAAACTTTATGTAGTCCTCTTTTCTTACCTTACATCAATTATTGTAGTTTACTATGGGCATCTACATAATTATACTTCTTACCTTGAACAACTTTATGTACTTCAAAATAAAGCCATTCGTATAATTACTTTTTCTTCTCCGCGCACACCCTCTAAGCCACTTTTTTCTAAGCATAATATTCTTTCACTCCACTCTATCTACAAAATTTTGGGGTGACAAACAAAGAGCATTATGGTATGTTATGGTATTTCTGGAGTGGTCAAATAGCCAATGCAAAAATTGTTGAAGGGCTATAGAATTTATATTCCTTACGTTTGGTTAAGCAATAGACCAAACTTTCTGTGGCTTTGCGGGCGTGATAACCGACTTGCGATGTTAGGAGAACACCGAAAAGCTTGTAAATAACGAGCCAAATTTTCGATACCTTGTGGAACTATACTAGGTGTACTTGTTTGTATAGTTTGTAGAAATACATAATCCAGTGTTTGAAAATTTAGTAGTCATAGTTAGTTGTTAAGTAGTTAATAATTACTTGTTAAGTATTAGTTTTCTAGTATTTGATTTTATAGTGTAATCAAGTCTCCTGTCACCGACTTTGCATACCTTGTGAGACTAAACTAGGAGTATTTATTTGTATGGTGTATAGGAATATATATATTGTCGAGTGTTTGTAAATTTAGCAGTCATAATTAGTTGTTCAAGTATTGCTAATTAGTTGTTACGTATTGTATTTCAGTTGTAAGTTCTCTGACTGTTTTTTTTTCCTTATTTTAGGTAAAGTCTTCTTTTATTCATGTAAATTCTTCACGTTTTTTTTTTGTGCTGACGTTAGACCATTTAACCCCCTGGCTTTGGTTGTTCTCATGTGTTCTTCTATGTATGTGATATGTAATAAAGTTAAAGTTAAAGATAAGTTATGCATGGCATCGTACTAAAAAATGCAATGACTCTGTGGTTGTTTTTAGGCCAGTTGCTCTCTTCAGTGCCAGTGAAAAAGCAGAAACATCTCCACCAACTATTTGCATTTGCCATAATTTTTCGATCTTGATGACTTTCCGCCGTCCTTTTCTTGATTTTTTTTTTCGCCTGCACGGGATATTCCTTGGACGAACTTTCCGATATCTCTTCGTCATTAGACTTATCAAAGGCACTATCACTCCGGTGTTTACAATAACCGGAATCACATCCACAGTCCTCAAATTCATCGAGAATCTCCTCAAGGGATTGCCTAAAATTTGCATGGGATAATGATGACAAAAAGGGAATTTTAATGAATAGTAATGGCTAACCATCGAATTCACAAAAATAGTGAAAATGCCGTCTTTACAAAACCGCTCCCAATCGGTAGTCATAATCAAGTATAATTAGAAAGGTTACGAATTAAGGTGCAAAGATATCCATTTGGAATTAGAAGGGACTGGAGGATAGCGGCAATTTTCTCTGATCAGTTGTAATGTCGTCAGTAAAAACAGCTACAACGGCAAAGGCTGTGGGAAGATCAGGCCAGCAACACATTCTCATTCCATTCCTACATCTATAGTATATAAAAAGAGAGCGTTTTCACTCACTTGGTCAGCGTCTATGTAAATTTATAAGAACAAAATGAAAGCGTTTACATAAGAAAAGAGTTCAGCTCCCAAAGGTTTGGTTTGGAATACAAATATGGCCGCCGTGAAGTGTTGTGAAAACGCTCTATACGTGGGAAAAACGTTCTCTGGGAAACTAGACATTTTTTCTCCACAAATTCCAAAGCGACGTTCGAACGAGCCTCAAAGGTCCTCCATGTTACACGAGGCCAAAATTCTGACGAGACTGACGCGTTAAGTTTTCCGCTAAATAGAATAAAAGATACGTGAAAAAATGGGGTGGCTGGTCACCCAATCTCCTCAAAACTTTAACCTCTCACCATGTACCCCCTCCCCTTCCCCCGTTCTTGTCCTTCAAGGGGCGCGTTAATTCTCTGCACTATATACTCTGCCACGTTTTTGAGTAAAACAAAACGAAACAAAAAGAAAATAAAAACTTCTAAAGTAAATTAAAAGGTGCACTGGAGGTCTGTCTATGCATTCATAACCGCAGACGGATACAGCAGCTGGAAATCGAGATTCATTTCAGCTCACATCAGGAAGCCACTAGCTAATTCTTTTGTCCTAAATCATTTTGTCTTTAAACGCTTTGCATGTTAAAGATGCATAAATGTAATTTGAATAAGTTGAAGTTTTCTTTCAAATAAAAACCTGTTGTGTACCCTCCTGGCCCCAGTTGTTCAAAAGGTAGATAGCGCTATCCAACGGATAAATCTCTAGCCAGTGGATAGTGCAATTGGTTTCCCTAATACTTATCCACTGGATAGTGATTTATTCTATGGATCGCGTTATCCGGCTTTTGAACAACTGGGGCCTGGATGTAATGGTCTTTTTAATCTGATCCTAAAGGGTTCAACAATAATCAATTCAATTCCTCCAACTATAAAACTAAAGTGGCTAAAGCTATATCGAAAGAAGACCAGTTTAACATATTTATCTTTAGCATCGGCCCAGTCAATATTATTATTATTTTTTTATCGTGACTTTCAACTTGATTAAATGCGCCTCACTTCAGTTTAAACTTAAAAACAGCTTGAAATGATTTTATCACCCAGGTCCCAGTTAATTGTGACTGAAAATTGAAGGATAGTGGTATCTACTGACTGATATATCTCTGCCCAATGGATAACACAACCGGTGACCTAATGCTTATCCACTGGTTAGTATTTTTCCCTGTGGATTACGAGGGTTATCCAGCTTTCGAGCAACGGGGTTAAGTTTACTAAGCCTGTACCGTGCACACACAATATAAGAGAGCCATTTTAAATTAAAAATTGGTGAATAAGAACTTTTAAAAAAAGTTAGTTAGTCCAAGAAATAAAAAGCAGTAACTTTTGTTTTGACAACTTCTTATGAGTCTTTTTTCCTGCACGAGAAAATATGATTTTCTCCTCCTCAAATTGAGTTTGTTATGCCACTTAGCTTCGCCAAAGGTCAAAACGTTTCATTGTTATCCGAAATTTTGGCGAGTAAATTAATTAAAATACAAAAAGGATATTTATTTTGTTTGATCAAAAGGAATTTAAGAGCGCAGTGGACATGCGGTATTTCCTCTGGAGTTTTTTGAAATTAATTTATTATTTGCTAGCTCTCAGGGAATTTCTCTACATACATTTGCTGTGATTGATATACTTTACCTTTTTTGTTTACGAAAATTCGGTTGAAAGATAAAGTTTCAAAATTCGTGTCAGTTTTAAACGGATCAAATTTAAAACATGAAAGCACAGCTGTGGTCAGTGTATCATGCTGTGCTCATGCGCAGCTTTCAAGTAATTCACGCTGGTTAAGAACAATGTCAACTCCAAATGAAGTCTGGGTAATTGAACAGCCGGACTTTGGGTGCCAATCAGTCAGTCGATGGAGTGTTTGGCTTGCTTTTGGCCGCTGTCATGTTGTTTGTTTGACATCAAAATATTTCACACCATTTGGTAAAAAATCTGCCAAAATTTAAAATTAGAAAGATGACGTTTCTCTTCTGCTTAACTATTTTCTCGTTGGTTTGCAACTTGACAATTGCTCAAGGTAGGCAAAGACTAACTTTATTTGTTTCACTTATTTAAGCTTTAATGGACAGGGCGGGAAACTTGCTGCTTGCTAAAATAATTAATTTGACCACTGAGGGCCTCTAGTTTAATTCTAGTATAGTATCAGATTAAAACCATTTTTCCCACGGATTCATCCTGGCAATTGCAAAAACAAAATGGTTTCGAATTCACCTGTTTTCCATTCATTTAAGTCTAGTCTCTCTCTCACTAACCTACGAGCTTTGTTGCTCACAAAACTAATGTCAAATTGCAAGATTTAAAAACAGATAGAGGTTACTCCAGCATAGCATTTCACTGGAAAAACTGGACTATTTACAGAGAGAGCAAAATGTCTATAAATTTACAATTTTTATACTTTTTGTGACAGTTCAAATCGCCCTTTCTTTCTACCTCGCCTTTCTCCTATGAAACATTCCAAACGCTCATACGCCGCTTTAATTTATTGCCCCCTGTCAAAATTGCAAGATTAAAAACAGAACGCAACGTCAGACAGAAAAAGAACTATACCGCTGCTGAGTTTTCACTCTAAAATGATGGAAATTTTCTTTCTTAAATTATTTTAATTTATATATTCTTGAGAGGCATTGACTAAGGTTTTCTTTATTTAGACCTAGACATGCTTCAAAAGTTCAGTTGCTTTGAAACGATCCTGAAGAAAATATATTTTGTTTGATTGCTTTTTTAATGTATATATTTTTTTCTATCGGAGCTGCTTGTTTGCTCAATTAATTTTTTTTCTTTTGGACGCTAATAAAAAACTGTTTCAGTTAGTTTAATTAACCATCTTTTTGCATACGCATCTATTGTTGCACACATTATATTGTCATACAAAAGAACTCCTGATATAATCACCTTTATGGGAAAGAAACGGCGAAAAAGAAATATAAAGATAAAACGTAACTGTTAATTTTGTTATTTGAAATGGGAAACAGGCTAACCTGACAAAACATAAAGATAGCACGGGCGTTTTAAATCAGACATTTATGAGACATCCCTCACTAGGCAATTGTATTCAGTCGCACAAAGAAAAAAGAAATCGTAAGCTTCTTCGAGGGAGTCTTGTTCCAAAAACCGCACTTTTGTTAATATCTTCACAAATTTAAATGCCCCTCAACAGGCAGCCAATACGAACTTTCAAACAAATCAAAACACATATCCGCCCATTGGTCTTAGGAACCGCACATGGTTGCTCAGCAGGTCAGTCCGTCGATCCAAATGTCCCAACCCTTAACGACAGCCAAAAGTATGAAAGTTTGGCTTCAGAAACTATTTATTGATAATGCTGTGAAGTTGCCCGACACACTAAAGCGACTCCAAATAAATCTCACCGTTTTGTCTTCATGCTCCCCAGAGCGATCCACTGTTTGCAACCTCGTTCCCAGGATTCCCTCCCAAAAGAGAGTGTTGGAAGAAGGAAGAGTAGGAGGAAACTCTTGGAACGAGGTTGCACTGTTAATATGATTCACTCGGGTACACTTGTAGTCCTGTTAGAAGATTTATAATCATCCAATCGTTTGTAGTCGATTAGCTGATTTCTGAAACTGCTTCAATGGAGGTATATTTTTGACAATAGCAGAATCCATTTTCTCTCAGTACATTACTAAGATTCTCTCTAAGACGTCCGTCTGAGAGAGACAAGCGCCCTAAAGTTAAAAGGGAACAATGGTATTTATAAAGGAAGCTTTACAGACCAACTAACTAAGCTTAAAAGGGAGTTCACCTGTTAAGTCTTTCCTTTCTTTAAAAAAAGTTACTTAAATATCTGATACCAACACAGTTATTAACGGTGATATTATTAATATATGAAAATCATATTTTACAAATTATGGGACGGAGAAAGGGTATAATGTTCCGGAATCGTAATTTTAAAAGTTACGTCTAGAACTGCGATGATTTCTTTGCAGTTAAGATTTATTAATAAGGCTATATTTAAGTTTGGAATGTAATGAAGGAATATACCAGTTATTTTAAAGTGCTTTAAGACCCCACTCTCCTCGTTAATTGGTTGACTGACCTCAGTTAGATGCATATTACTAAACACGAAGGTGCCTAACTCCTTTTGATGAAATTTACTTTTTTTGTAGAGTCGCCAACACCAACAAGTGGAGGGGTTGATGGAGAAATGATAGATAACTCCACGGCAAGTATGTATAAGTTAGGAATATTGCTCTAGCTTCAATGTAATTATTTAATTATTTTACATTTCCAACCCCAACCCACAGGTGTATAGACAAATCTATCTTAACAGCCAGCTGTCAAACCTGTAATGATGAAACCGAAAACAAAACCCACCTTTTGCGATTGCTCTTTGCACTACTAAAACATCTTCTCTTTACAAATCAAAGATTCATAATTAAAAAAGGGAAATTAAAATAATTAAAGTGTGTAATTATAGTGAACTCTTAACCTGCAGGTCTTCCATAGATATCAATTTGTCGCTGGCTTAATGCTTCTTGAAACATTATTCAAAAGTTAAAGATTGCTGCATTAAACTAATTATTTTCCTGTGATTTTCACTCATGAAAATGCAGAATTCATAAAGCTATCCCTGGCCTTTCCCTCACTGAAAAATTTAACCATTTACTAGCAGAACGAAATGAAGCTGATCTTTCCGTTTGTCGAAAGTACGTAAGGCAAAGATTCTTGTGATCTAGAGGAATTTCCTACGATTTAGACAGTAACAAAGAAAAAAAGAGAGCTGAAGGATATATTTTCGTTGGTAGTAATGGAATAATTCCCCCGGATACTACGCATTGTACTTTACTTGAGTAAACATTCTTCACTTCTTCTGGCGAGGTAGTGATCAGTGCGTCTTGGAACCGTGTTTAAACTATCTGTAAACGCAGTTTCTTTCTTCAATTAACGTACAAGGTATGAAGTAGATTGGGAACATTCTTTTTTACGTTTCTGCAGAACTGGGCCTCGTATGCCACAACGAATACATCGAGGTTACCTTGGAGAGCAAGAACTACCCAGGACTGGACACCAACGTGACTCATCTCCAGGACGAGGCCTGTGTTCCCGGTTATCGAGATGCAACAAAGGTTATATTTAGGTTTGGCTTGGGGGACTGCAAAACCGAATATGAAGAAGACGAAAGTGAAATTCGCTACATGAACAAGATTATTGCTGTAGTAAACGACGAGAAGGAAGAGGACGCCATCACTCGATCAAGTACAAGAGTGCTTCCCTTTCAGTGTTCCTACAAGAAAAAGGCTGTTATCTCTAAAGTGCAAGTCAATCCTCAGTTCACAAAAATCATAACCAATACGGGTAACAACAACAAGTGCAAATATAATAATGCCTGTTCACTGCTGGGCAAAGTCCCTTAATATATACATCTTGCAATTAAAATTATATAAAAATGCCCTATATGACTAAATCCTTAAAGTCTTGAAAGTAAACACTTAAAGACTCCTTAAAGTCTTCATTTGAAGACTCCTTAAAGTGCAGAACACTTTAAGACTCCTTAAAGTCTTGACTTTAACACTCCTCAAAGTCTTCACTTTAAGACTCCTTAAAGTCTTCGCTTTAAGACCCCTTATAGCGGAGCTCCACGCGCTCGCAAAGCGCGCTCGTGGGCGGAGCCCCATAGCTAAGTAAATCTACCCATCTCAGAAAACTTGGTAATCACGTGACCGTACACCGACCGCCGACCGCTGACCGTCCGTCCGCACCACAGGAAAACAAATTTTTACTCTCACACTTTTAGCTAGTTTGGGAGCCCAAGAGAAAACTAATTGCACATCAATGTTGTGATCAATTGACAGCTATCAAAACAGAGCATCTGCTGACCAGTATCACCTGACCGTACCGCGGGCTCAAGTGTCGACCCATCGAGGTCGAGTATTTTTTGAAGTTATCCGCTGACAAATTACCAGTTTCAAATGATCGCAGGCTCAAGTTTATTTTTTCCAAGGATTCATATCAAATATGTTGTGTTTATGTCGCTATGGCCCCTTACTATTAGGATTTTGATTTCAAACTGACCTCAGTTTTTTAAAAGTACAGGCGGGGAAGACCTTATCTTACCAAGGTCACGCGTTGGTCACGCTCTACGTCCAATTTTTATACTCTGATTGGTCAAAATTCGACAGGTGAGTTCATGCGGAAAAATTATGCAGCATCTTGAAAGTTGTTTACTTTGACAGCTAAAGCTGACAGAGTTTTGTGTCAACTTGTGATGTTTTTAACTGTCTTTTTCCACTGGATGTACAAAATGAAATACAGCTGCTATCAAGAGTCTTCTGTTATTCATGGCTGGTTTGTTTACTGGGTTTTTGGTGGAGAAATGCGTCCCTTGTCAAAATTCGGTAATGCGATTTCGGATGGCATCGTTTTCAATTTTCACCTTGCTTAATGCGTAAGAGGGTTTAAAAGTCTCAAGCAACTGTGGCCTTCCTTGATAGCTTTCAGGAACTGAATCTCGAGTGCTAAGCCTGAGTAATTATTGTATTTGATGTTTGTTTTTGTTATATCTAATTTCATGAAGTCTTACACAGTTCACGCTGACAGTTTATGCGGCAAGTTTATGCACGTTTGTAGGATTTGAGTCAATGACCTGACCTAGTATCAGGTTAGATATAAGTATGAGAACTTTAAAAAGCCTTCAGATATATTTGCTCACCATAAATACAAAGAAAACGTTCCGAAGAATATTTAGTTATAAATTTGGCTGTGGAAAGAAAACTTTGAGGGATTTTCTTGCTTCGAGGAGTTCACCTTCGAAAACAGTAAACACCGCGCCGGGAAGCCGGCTTAAGCTTTAATTTACGCTTAAAGACTTTTGAGGCACTTTAATACTTGTCTTCGTGAATGAAAATTGTTGTCTCTGTAAATGTCTCATCGAGTTATATCTCTTTTTTTGATTGTTAGTAGCCTCTCTTGCAATTTTAATCGCTTGTCCGTGCCCTTTGTTTTCATCGTACATGAACATCGCTTGCAGAAGTACTCAAAAACGTCGCGCGTATCAAACGCTTTATAAGATTACACATCGTAATAACTGAAACCATTAAATAACAACAACAAAAAAAAATTCGCTATTATGTTGAAGCGTGACTCTACTAAAGTTCATTCAAACACTCGACCACACTGACAGCTCGCACTATAGAAACGAAAACCAGCTGGCCGTATGGGTGATTTTGGAAATTTTTGAACGGTTTCGCTTAAAGCCCACGATTGATCGTCCTGAATATTGACTGAGTGCAATTTGTCTTGAAAAATTGTGAAATACCGCATTCTGTCCGAGGTGTGTATGATAAATAGTACTGTCTCACCTCAAATGTGATGTATAAAAATTCTAAAAGGTTGGTTTAAACACCGCCAGATTTGTTGGCAAGAATTTGTAAAGTAAACCTGTCGAACGCAAAAAAATCGACGTCATTTGTTTTCCAAGAATTTATTTTCGAGGCCTAATCTACTGTGATCTTGAATGTGATCGAAGATGTTTGTTATTTTTTGGGTGTACATATAAGATTATCAATTCGATGTAAGATGTTTCACTCTAAAATAACTTTCCCTCAAAAGTCACATGAATGCGCCCTTAAGTTAACTGATTTGTGGATTAAAAGTTTATTGTTTGATTTAAATTATAAATTTATTAATTGGAGCTTCGCTTTTAGCCCTTGCTAAATCTATATATTAGTGTTCACTTTAAGACCCTTTGAAATGAACACTTTAAGACTCCTTAGAGTGTTCACCTTAATACCCCTTAAAGTTTATTTCGAGGGCAACGAGTAGGTTTTTGAGCAATTTGATGGACTTACCTGACAATAACTTAAATGGGTTAAGACTTTCTTGTTCAGATGGAAGAGTTCAATCTCCCCGCCCCTCTCCATTTACCCAGCACTCCAGCTCCGCCCCTCGAAAGTTTAATTCTCGAAACTACTTCTAAAACGTCTCAGCGGATAAAAAGTCAGGGAAGGCTAATTTTTTTTCGTAAGGAAATGAGCAAGAATGAATTTTTTTGGCAGTTCTGGAGTCAGTTAACCAGCTCTTTATTTTGGTTTGTGAATAACGTACTTTCAGACAAAGGGAGAGTGAATTGTTTTCTTTCTGTTAGAATAAATTGCATTCTTATCACAGGCATTCATAAAATTATGAACACATAATTCGAATATAAACAGAGAAAAAAAATCGCCATATTATATGTCACACGTCTAGTTGTTAGATAGCAAAAAAAAAGTAAGGTACACGAAGATCTTTTCTTGATGTTCTGCTATGCTTTTTTATCATCAGAGGACTTCGGTAACTTCTCGTATGAGGTAAATCTATACACCGATAAGGACTACTCAAACAAAGTTGATGAATTTCCCTACGTCATCGGCATTAGCCAGCGGATGTACCTGGAAATGCGTGTAGAGTCGGGGGATTCTGGACTGATCTTGTTCCCGGATGAATGCAAGGCCACGCCCTCCCAGGATATCAATGATAAGCCGGATCATGCGATCATCGAAAACGCGTAAATAACCACTAAAATATTTGGCTTTAGTCATTCAGTCTATAGGTCTATGAGAAAAGAAAAATAAAAGCAAAATATGTTGTAGCAAGTTAAACGAAGAGATTCAGAAGCTTGTAAACAACGCCCCTTCAGTAAGGGAATCCGAGTCATTCTTAAATTCTGGAATCTACGCCGTGGATTCCGGATTCTACCATTGTAGGCGCTGGATTCCGGATTCTTTGTCAGAGGAACTTAGATTCCGGATTCCAGGCGTTAGTGGGATTCCGGATTCAGTCCTTGAGCAGTATTTTGGATTCAAAAGCCCCAGGATTCTGGATTCTACAAGCAAACATTTTCCGGATATTACATGGGGCGATGTTGGTGTTTATATTTTAGTCTTTGAGCCTATAAGTCTTTGAAAAAATTGATAAAATGAATAAATAAATAAAGCAAAGCATGTTATGGTAAGTTAAACGACTAGTTTTGAGAAGTTTTGGCCAATTAAAATGTGAAAAATAGATTTACAACCAGTCATTTCATGCATTCCTGAGGCGAAAGATGATTCGGATGAAAGAACGTTATGAGAAGGACCGTGGTGTTGTTAAGAAAAATGATGTAATATGCTTACCAGAAGCCAGAGCTTTTGTTCTTTAGTTTAATTTTATTTTCTGATGCCGCCAATGATCTTAGTTGTGCAACCTAAATTTTGCGTTAAAAAAAGTGTTAACTTATTTGAAAAAAAAAAAAAGATGTTTATTGTGCTTTCGCTTTAAAAGGTTATTATTCTTTTTGTAGATGTCCCCGAGACAAAACTCTGGAGTTTGAGTACAAGATGTCTGGTGAACAGCAATTTAGTTTAGTGGCCTTCCGCTTCAAATCTGGTTATCAAGACGTGTACATACACTGTAAGATGACTGTGTGTCGCTCGAAGGAAGAAGAGTCAAAATGCGCCAAGGGATGCCAGGAAAACGAGAATGACTCCAGAAAGAAAAGGGAAGTGAAAGATGATTTCCTCATTAAACAGTTCATTGGGCCAATCAAGGTCAAGGGAGAAGAAGATAAAGGTATGTATTACTCACAGTACACTATGAAAGACTTGTGTCAAGCACCCCTACATTCTTCACATAATGCTAAAGTAATCTGCATTGAGATAGCAGCCTCCAATACATCATAGCTGCCTTCTAGCTTCAGCGATATACCTTATAAGGTTGTAAAGGAACTGAATGTTTCAGACAGACAATACTTATGTTTCATATTCAGCTAATTACATTTAATAGCCATCATGAAGCTTACGCATTTTCAACCACCAAAGCAACGATGAACGTAATGCATGCAGTCAAACAATTGAACTTTAGGAAAATTCGCCCACCGTTTGCAAACTAAATTAGCCAAGTTCAAGGAGAGATAATCACTCAAAATCTTGGATTTATGTTTATGTAGAGGTACCTTTTGGTGGCTAGCTTAGTTCAAGCATATGAAAGGGCAGAGTTTTCACTAGTTGAAGTATATGCTACCGTAGAGAAATATGTTATTTCGGTCTGTCCAAAAGGGCTAGCAGATACATTATATCGCTGAAAAAAAAAATGAAAGAAAACGTTCTGGTTTTGTAATTTATTAATATTTTAATAAATTTAAAGCAGTTAAAGGGATGTAAAATTCTAAACTAGGTATGTGAATGGTGTACCATTTGCACGATCCAAGTATGCGAAAGGATCACCTTTTCTGCCAAAAAATAGTAATGTAAAATATTAAGGGGTTGGACCTCGGAGCGGAACTTCCCCGTATAAAACTTGTCATTAATAAGTTAACTCCTCCCCCCGTCCCCACCAAGTTTGAAATCTTCTCACACGATGAGTCCTTTCTGTATGACCTCTTTCAGTCTCGGATGCACTTAGAAAGAAGGTCTCACAAGACAATCCCCAGATGTTCACCCTGGTTGGAGTGTTAGTTGGCGTGCTTGGAGTCATCATGCTCGGTCTCATAGCTGCACTGATTATTGTAATCAGGAAACGCCGTACCGAGGAGAATTCCACCACCTTGCTAGTTTATGATGAATAGATCTTTCACGCAATTTAGGGTGTGGCTGAGTTGGAAGAGTTTTTTTCTCTGAAAGGATTGTTTCACATAGATTAGTTTAAGCTAATTCACTTAAAATCTAGCCGTCAAATTTGCTAAATAACATTAATAGCCGATTAAAGTAGTAAGGAAACATCATTCTTTTGCACAAAAGATTGAAAGAGATTACGACGGATTGATTTAGTGGTTTTTAAAACTGTGTAGCCTAAAAGTATCTCACATCATGTCAAGTTGTTTCTGATATTTTTTGTCCCTTTTTTTAACTTTGAATTAAACGCTTTGAGAACTTATCTCTTGTATTTCTTAAAGTTGTCTGATGGTGCCGCTAAGAAGCACACTACGGAGAAATTTCTTTGCAAGTTTTACATATAAAAGAGTTGGATGGGCTAAAAATACAGGATGTGGGCGTTGATCGCCTCGAGGTGAGCTCTGGTGAGTGGTCGCTGTGGTGGTTAATCGCGGATCGATAGATATCCAACACTTTTAAGCGACAATTTAGTCTCCTGTAACATTATTCTCAGCGATATCACAAACAAGGCGGTCGCGAATCATTTCATCTTTCAATACGCCGCACACCGTTGGGAGGGGAACGTTTTCCGTGGGGCCAAAGCTCGCAACTTCGTAGCGTAAACATCAAATGACCCTTGACAATGGGAGTTGCATGGATCTAAAAGAACATTTATGTCCTGCTTTACCTCGAGCGAAAGACAATCCATTGTGTGTTTCAAGCGCGGTGGCCCAAATGCAAGTGCAACTTGACATCGGACGTTTTGTGTTTCACTTTCTAAGAATGGCAGAGCTCATGACAAGGAGGGCATGATGGCAGGCTTATGCAAGGGATGAAATTAAGTCGCTAGGTGAAATCTGCTTCCATTTCGTTTCGTGTGCTGACGGTTTCATATGCATTCCAGACTTGCTTCCATTTTTTCCAGTTATCCGAAAATTTCCTTTTACTAGTTCAAGCCGTCCTGGTGGAAGTAGTTGACGATGAACCATGCAAACCTTGTGTTGAACCAGCGTGATCTGAATCGAATTTTCTGACTACTCAAATGATGGGCAAGCTACTTTGGAAATCATTGATGTATTTAAAGAGGCCATACATAAAAAAAAAAAACAAAAACAAAAACAAAAAAAACCAAAACAAAACAAAACAAAAAAATAAATAAATAAATAATAATAATAATAATAATAATAATAATAAGTATAGGGTATGGTAGAAAACATCAAGAAAGTATCAGAAAGAGCTAATATGACAGAGATTCAAAAGATCTGCATGCTGGGATCTGCACGAATCCTCAGAAAGGTGCTCAGTGTATGAACAGAATGATTGACTTCAGTGACTGACGCTCTAGGTGCATGGTTTGCGCCCGGCTGATGCACAAAAAGAACACCAGCAAAGACTGTGCTAATAGAGACAATAATAATAATAATAATAACTAGGTATACCTATCGATAGTGTGCCAACGAGCAAATCATGCGTATTTTGCATAGGAATGGATTCCTTTTTTCCAACATTTGACAGTTTCTTGGTCCCTTCCTGTTGAAAGGATTATTTTCTTGAAACTAAGGTGCTATGCAAGTATAGAGGTTCGGAAAAGAGTCAGTTCTCAGACTCCTGTGGCTTTACCAACCTGTTATATAAAGTCTGAAGTGTCATGAGGCATTTTTTTTTTGAAAGAATAAAACAGCTTGCAGAGGAAGCGATGGGTAATATTTAGGGGGAATGTAAAAAATGATCGTTTCTCTTACCACTACAAAATTAGTGTCGGTTCGGTTTCACTTTGTTGATAAATATTTGTGCAGTTTAATCATTTAAACCTCCTCTGACATTTCACGAGGCTTTTTGTCTCCCTATTGAATTTTAGAATGATTCGCTGAGCTGCTTGAAATGTTTTCAAGGACATGCGATGTACGACATGTACGGCACGTCGGTATTTTGTTTTCACTAATTATTATAAACTCGTCCAGGTTTCGAAAAAAATAGGGTTGTTTTCTTTTCCTTTGTCGTTCGCTTTAGGCTTGTAATTCTTTTTTACTGTTACTTTTCCATTTGCTGGTTAGATTTTTCCCCAACATTAGATTTTCCAATAGAAGCGACTATATATTCTTCTTATCAAGCTTTCCTTATCTCTTCGTGTAATCTGATCCTTTTCAGTGGTTGAGAATTGCTTGTTTCACATGGAAAACTTTTCTTTGCTTAAACTGTTGTTTTACAAGGTTCTCTTCGTTAAAACCTTACATTAATGGCCCCTCAAATTAATACAATGCGTCAAGTTTTCATTTACCTTGACTGCCGGGGCCAGATTTAGGTGAATAAACAATAAAAGCGTAACCACATTCAAGTTCAGTCTCGCGTGCCACTGAGGAAAGAACACTTGTGCGCCAAGTATAGTTTACCGCCTTTTGATTGACTGAAACTGTCACACCACTTGGTCTCAGGGGAATCTACATTACATGAGGTTACACTTTTTGAAGCTCGATCGAGAATTTTTCTGCCTACAGCCCAGTCTTACGCGGCTCTATTCTGCTGCCGCCTCGCCATCCGAGTGTCTTCGCTCGGATGGATCGTTGGCAATAATAAATGATTGACTTGAGTGACTGACGCTCTAGGTGCATGGTTTGCGCCCGGCTGATGCACAAAAAGAACACCAGCAAAGACTGTAACAATAGAGACAATAATAATAATAATAATAATACTAATAATAATAATTTACAGATTCAAGAATATGAAATATTAAAATATATACCCTATGTACATTCTTCTTGTGTACGAAAGAGAATTGTCGTAAAATGACTATCTAAAGACTACTAATAACAGTTATAAAAAGCATCAAAAAGTTAATAAAAAAAATAAGAACTATTTAAAAATAATAATTCAAACTGATAATAATAATAATAATAATAATAACAATAATAATAATAATATTATTAAAAATAAATTGGTTACCTGTAGACTCTTTATAAACGATTCAGAGGCATTCCATTAGGTTTACGAACCATGACATTCGTTTATCATTATGGTAATTCATTCAATTGCCTTATTATTCATTCAAAATAATTCCCAGTTTAAAAACAAGCTAAAACATGCTTACCTTCGTCTATGTCAAGTTCACCTCATAATGGCTGTTTAGAAGATAAAGGGCTGTTCTGGTCTGCAAATATACCCCAAATACCAGATTTTGTCCGTCGAGTTGTCTTCTTGCTATGTTTTTAGACAATAAATCGTCGTGAAACGAGTAAACTGTGCCGCAGAATGTTCCGCCATTTTTGTTTTCACCAACCAAAGAACTCAACCTCGCCCCAGGTCTTCTCGGTAACGCTGCACTTTTGACGTTATCTTCCAAATTTGGTCATCTGTAGCTGGTTATGGTGAATTATGAGCGTGCTTTAGCCAATCAGAATAGGGGAAATATTTTGAATGAATAATAAAATATATTATTTCTTTTGTAATATATCTCCTTTTTTATTTTTCTGTAAATATGTAAGACTCTGCACTTCTTTCTCCACTCACTGTAATTTTATGTAAATATATGTCTTCGCCACTAGCTAAAGAATTTATCTTAAATTTCATCATTTATGTAATTTGTTGTTGTTGATGTTCATTTTTTTGTTTTTGTTTCTTCTGTTCAGTGTAAAATTGTGATGTATTGATAGTCTGAAAATCTGGCATTAACGCAAAATAGCTAAGATCAGTTACCTTAAATTGTTTGATGTTCCATTTGCACTGATACCCTGGAGACAGGGCCTCTCATGAGTCCTACGTCAATCCGTCTATGTCTATCCACCAGTTTTTTTGTTGTTGCTTATCTTTGATATACTATCCCTGGAGGATTAACAACCCCAAGAGAGGCTGATAACCTCTCTTCCAATAGCTTTGTGGGATTATTACACACCTAATGAAGCGAAACGTGACTTGTTATCTGTATTTGGAGCACTTTATCCCTTAACCCATTTCCCAACAATCGTTTTGGTCTAGTTCCTTGGATAAGGGATATGGTGTTTCTAAGCAGGTCTATTTTCTGGGCCAAGTTGTTCTGGTCAAAGCCAGGATATTTTGAACTCCGAGTTAAGTGGGAATAAGTGAAATGGTTCGTTTAATCCATCTTACACAGCAGACCAAGACAACTTGCAATTATGGAGGTCACCTTCTATTCATCTGCGTGGTTTCTGTGGACAAGAAACCTTTTTTTAACATGTAAGAGATGGTAACGAAACAAACAATACTGTGGCCAGGAGACAACTAAAAGAGCCATTTAAATGGATTTCCATGTATTCAAGATCATAATCATACAACAAATTGGCAATTCGACTACGTACACAGGTTGGGACTATCTAGGAGGCCTGAATTATACGAAACATCCTAACGTCTACAAGCCGGATAAATATGCAATCAACTAGAGGGGTTTCCTGTTTGTACAAAATGCGACAATCGTTTATAATAGAACAGAATTTAAGGCAGAAGTCAAACCGTTAAGGTTACACAGTCTTTTTGTCTTCGCTGAAAATGGTGATTAAAAACGTTATTTTTATAATCGACCAGTGATGTTTAAAGAATTTTTAATCCGCCTTAGGTTAACTCCTGGGACCCACCACTGCATAAATCCTAACGTCTGATGTTACGACGCCTGGCGTTACCTTTCATGCACCTTTCGCTGTGATGTGTACAACGCTGTGCCAATCGAAAGTACCCAATTCTCAGGCCTTACACCTTTGCAAACAGCGCCGGAAAAACTCTTGTAGACGAAATAAGCATATCTCTTTGGTATGCATCAAATGGTTGCTAAAGATTCCATTTCAAACAAAATACATTCATACAAGCCACATTTTAGAGCCATCAGATCAGATACCTAGAAGACCTTTGTAGAGACCTTGTAAATGTCTAAAGAGACTGCAAAAAACGTTTTAAGGGAACTAGAAGCCATCTTTGAGGGCATATTCAACATCTCAATTTTCAATCCTTAATAACATCTTCCTGAAAATCT